TACAAACCAACAGCCGCTAAGGCTGCCAGGACTTGCAGTTCATTAATTCATGGAAGTCTGTGAATGAATGAATGACCCGGCCGTGTGGATGGAGCCCCACACAGCCATGCTTTTTTTTCAAATTTGGCAGATAATAATTGGGGGGGGGGGCACGGCTGGGGTATGGGAACATGTTACATGATTTTGATTTATTATCTCTTTGCATATCGGCACCCCAGCTGTAGTTGTCAGATCTCGGCGGGGGAAAGCAATCCCTTCTCTGGCTGTTCTTGGCCCTTCAGAATACACTGGATTAAGAGGCTGAACAAGACAGCCAGGCAGCTAACCTTTTTACAATACCCCCCCCCCCCCTTAGTTCTCAGACTATGCAAGAGGAGTAGGAGGATTACACCAATGGTCAAAAAGTCCAAAGTGGTATTTTAATAAAGAATAAATTCCATGAAAGCCGGTGTGTATCGGGGTGGGGGGGGGTCTGGATACCCCCTTTTTATGAGGACTACAGCACAAGCAAAAAGTGCATATAAAAGTTCACATACGCCCTCCTAACCCTCTTGTATTGAGCTGTGTCGTTGCTGTATTGTCTCCCTTTATATTGTAAAGTGCTGAGCAAACTGTTGGCTATATAAATCCTGTATAATAACAATATACACTCACCGGACACTTTATTAGGTATACCTACTCAATTGCTTGGTAACACAAATTGCTAATCAGCCAATCACATGGCAGCAAGTCAATGCATTTAGGCATCTAGACGTGGTGAAGACGACTTGCTGAAGTTCAAACTGAGCATCAGAATGGGGAATAAAGGGGATTTAGGTGACTTTGAATGTGGCATGGTTGTTGGTAGCAGGCGGGCTGGTCTGAGTATTTCAAAAACTGCTGATCTGTATGGAGTGCATGGGTTGTTACCGACTGAAAGGTTGTCGATAGCCCCTGGCTATCAGTCTTTATAGTCGGTTTCAGGTACGGACGCGTCGGGGAGATTGACTTCATCTCAGAAGAGAAAGACATACACACAGTAATAGTTGAAATCAATCTCTCAAGTTTATTAGTGGGAAGAAGAAAATTAATATAACAGAAAAAAGAAAGGTGGGGGGCACAGAGTATCAAAAAGCTGAGTTGTCAGTAATTGATTGGCTGAATACAAAAAGACAAACATTGACGTCAATTCTGAAAAGTGATGAGAAGCGGAGTTTCATTCCTGGACTGGGACGGTGGATGAGGCTGTGGGTTGGATTTGCTGCTGTGCTGCAAAGAAAAAATCACGTCCTCTTTGGAGAAGGAAAGATATATTCTGACAGTACGGAGCTGACAGTACGGAGCGGGTCTAGTGACACATGACCACTTATCACTCTCAACAAAAGACAGACAATAAGAACTTAAATATTGACTCTATTTCAATAACTTTGACCCGTTCACTTACCAACCGGGTTCACTTATTTGCATAAACAAATTATCTTATACTCTATGCATTTGATAGTAGAAGCAAAGAAAAGAAAGTTGGTTACCCTCAACAGACTAGTTAAGACTCTGTAAATTAACCTAGACCCTGTCTAGGTATTTCAAATGTAGACCCCGTCTACATAAATCACCTTTCCTTATCTGAGTCTCCCGGAGACTCAATGAAGTATTCCCGGAATACTCCTGTCACAGTTCAGAGATCGAGAGTTTAGTCAGAACCACGGACAGCCGGACAGACAGACAGATTTTGTTTATCTTACCGGGTGACCGCAAACGGGTCGACCTCCCCGATCTCAGTGGGACCTCCAATTGAAAGGTTGTCCATAGCCCCTGGCTATCAGTCTTTATAGTCGGTTTCAGGTACGGACGCGTCGGGGAGATTGACTTCATCTCAGAAGAGAAAGACATACACACAGTAATAGTTGAAATCAATCTCTCAAGTTTATTAGTGGGAAGAAAATTAATATAACAGAAAAAAGAAAGGTGGGGGGCACAGAGTATCAAAAAAAGCTGAGTTGTCAGTAATTGATTGGCTGAATACAAAAAGACAAACATTGACGTCAATTCTGAAAAGTGATGAGAAGCGGAGTTTCATTTTCCCAACAATAAAGAAAGTTTCTACATTGTTTTAAAAACACTTATCTACTACATACAATAGAATCTCGCTAGATACTTGTCAAGGCTATAAACATGACTTTCTCAGGCCTTGAAATCATTTACAAGTATCCAACAATTATTTTCCCATGGGACAGAAGTATTTGACTTTTAATTATATCATAACAGAAAACAGGTGCTGTTAATACAAAGAAATAATTGGATACTATCTCCTCCTCTACCAAGGCTAAGCTTAAGAAGAATATTGTGAGTATAATTCTGTAACACATAACTGACACAGCATATTTTCATTAACTCATTCTGGGTATAATACAAAACAATTAATCAAACATGGAGTACAAAATGGAGTGGGGAAAAACAAAAAATGACAGACCTAAAGACATATATTTCCCTTCAATCCCCTCTTAAAATCATTATTTACATACAGTCATGGCCGAAAATTGTTGGCACCCTTGATATTTTTTCCTGAAAATCAAGTATTTCACACAAAAAAGGTATTGCATTAACACATGTTTTGCTATACACATGTTTATTCCCTTTGTATGTATTGGAACAAATATAAAACAGAGGCAGAAAAAGCAAATATGACATAATGTCACACAAAATCCCCAAAAAATGGGCTGGACAAAAGTATTGGCACCCTTAACTTAATATTTGGTTGCACACCCTTTGGAAAACAACTGAAATTCAGTCGCTTCCTATAACCATCAATAAGCTTCTGACACCTCTCACCCGGAATTTTGGACCACTCTTCCTTTGCAAACAGCTCCAGGTCTCTCTTATTGGAAGGACACCTTTTTTCCCAACAGCAATTTTAAGATCTCCTCCACAGGTGGTTCAATGGGATTTAGATCTGGGCTCATTGCTGGCCACTTACAGAAACTCTCCAGCGCTTCTTTGCTCCATCCATTTCTGAGTGCTTTTTGACGTATGTTTGGGGTGTCATTGTCCTGCTGGAAGACCCAGGATCTTGGACGCAAACCCAGCTTTCTGACACTGGGCCCTACAGTGCGACCCAAAATCCTTTGGTAATCCTCAGATTTCATGATGCCTTGCACACAGTCAAGGCACCCAGTGCCAGAGGCAGCAAAACAACCCCAAAAACATCATTGAACCTCCACCATATTTTACCGTAGGTACTGTGTTTTGTTCTTGTTAGGCCTCATTCCGTTTTCACGGTAAACAGTAGAATGATGTGCTTTACCGAAAAGCTCTATCCTTGGTCTCATCTGTCCACAAGACGTTTTCCCAGAAGGCTTTTGGCTTACTCAAGTACATTTTGGCAAACTGTAGTCTTGCTTTTTTATGTCTCTGTGTCAGCAGTGGGGTCCTCCTGGGTTCTCCTGCCATAGCGTTTCATTTCATTTAAATGTCGACGGATAGTTCGCGCTGACACTGATGCTCCTGAGCCTGCAGGACAGCTTGAATGTCTTTGGAACATGTTTGGGGCTGCTTATCCACCATCCGGACTATTCTGCGTTGCAATCTTTCATCAATTTTCATTTTAGCTCATCCGTCCACGACCAGGGAGATTAGCTACAGTGCCATGGGTTGCAAACTTCTTGATAATGTTGCGCACTGTGGACAAAGGCAAAATCTAGTTCTCTGGAGATGGACTTGTAACCTTGAGATTGTTGATATTTTGCCACAATTTTGGTTCTCAGGTCCTCAGACAGTTCTCGTCTCCTCTTTCTGTGTTGTCCATTGCTTAGTGTGGCACAGACAGACACACAATGCAAAGGTTAAGTGAACGTCTCTCCTTTTTATCTGCTTTCAGGTGTGATTTCTATATTGCCCACACCTGTTACTTGCCCCAGGTGAGTTTTACAGGAGCATCACATGCTTGTAACATTTCTTATTTATCCGCAGTTGTGAAAGGGTGCCAATACTTTTGTCCAGCCCATTTTTGGAGGTTTGTGTGACATTATGTCGAATTTGCTTTCTCTTTCCTCTTTTTTTTTTGTTTTGTCCCAATACACACAAAGGGAATAAACATGTGTATAGCAAAACATGTGTTAATGCAATACGTTTCGTGAGAAATACATGATTTCCTGGAGAAATATCAAGGGGGTGCCAACAATTTCGGCCATGACTGTATATGATTTTTAATTTCCCCTTATACAACATAGTTCTTTTTCTGCTTCTTTTTGTATTTGGCTAGATAACTGTGGTACTCTTTAGGTTTTGGGTTCAGTGGGACAGTTTGTTCTTAGATGTTCTTCTGCATACATAGTCATACCTATTCCTTTCATAAGCTTCTTAATACACGGGAGAATACAGCAAACCACAAAAACTATGGTAATTAATATAATCAGGATAATAATAGCAAGCTGTACTAGTGTCTGTTTCCAGCTGGTGAACCACCCAAAATACTGATCCCAAAAGTTGTCTAAGCTAGAGTTCTTCTTAAACTCTATAGACAAGTCTTCAAGTTTGTTTTATGGCTAAGATGTGACTTTGCCATTTGGGCCTGTGTTGTCTAGATATGTAAATGCAACAAATGTCTACCATGTCTATGTATTTTTGCATGTACCACTCTTCTCAGCTAGAATCATATCTAGGGCTATTCTGTTCTGGAGTGTCATCTGTGAAATGGCTTCTAATTGTTCAGCAGTTCCCTTTAGGGCATCCCTAGTATAATTAACAAATCTTTTTTTATTGTAATAAATATAATTTATCCATCAAATGTTTCTTGAAAAATATAGACTCAAATCCAGTTGCTGTTTGGTCTTTGGCCTTACATTTGTCTGGAACCCCTCTTGGTACCCCTATGGCATCTATATATACATGTCTAACATCATGTGCAGTATGATACATATTATACAACCAGAGTAAGTGGGAGTTATGGGGACATTGTAAAATTTGGCAGTAATCAATAATAAAGGTGGCAACCTCAGTATTTGATGAATTATACCACAATATGGTGTGGCCTGAGTCCTGTATTATCACCACTTCACCATGGCTAGGTGCCAACAAAATCAGTATGATCAGGAGAAAGTGGCAGAACCATGGTCCAAAATTGGGGAAGCAGTTCATCTCTTCTTCAGGGTCAGGGTTTTCTACCCCCGTTAATACCCCCCTTTCTGTCAGGAATGGACTCAGCACTGGTGGTGTGGGACTCACCTGCCGTGTGGGCTGCAGTACCAGAGCTGACCAGCGGGTGCTCTCAGCAGCCAGAAGCTCACACGTGCAATCAGCCAAACCCTGGGACTGATTGCAGAAAGGTGTATTTAAGGCATGGCCAGGGCCTGTGATCTGGGCCTTGGTGTATGTTTTCCCATGAGCCTCTGTACCTGGTATCCTGTGTTCCTGCTTCGTTGCTGACTGACGGGGAAACCCAAAACTCATGGGTTCCAGTAACATTTTGACTGCTGAAGCCGGATTAAAAAGTAGATGTTTATTATACAAGCATGTAGCTAGACCTCCATGCAGGGAGAGCAGAACAATACATAGTGTTGGATTCAAAGTAATGCTCTATCTAACTAGGGCTTTCTAATACAATTTATATGCTCTACAGTGGGTGGTACCTAGCTATCTGATCTTTCTTTGAAGAGTCATCTGTGTCTTTGGTGTAACTCATTGAAATGCGAATAGTTATCCACATGTTATTGTTACTTCCATTGTCCTTTGGGTTTAACAGGTCTTCAAAGGCTGTGATAATAATCTTGTAGACAATAGGTGGTGTGAATGATGCTGAACTGGAAGTAGGAGTGAAGTGCCAAATGTTGAGCCAGCAGGAGAGGGAAATAGGTTGTTAGGTCATCTAATTCAATACCAATGTATTTCATATTTATATCTAAAATGGCTGCTCCATTTTCCATTACAATCCCTCCTCTTGGACATCATATTTGTCCAAACAATTATCCCTTCCTAAAAAGAAAATTTGAGAAACATATTTGCTTTACAATTCCTCCCTTAAAATTCTCATACATCTCACTTTGTTTGCCTAATATTTCATTCTAGTTCATATTTCTCCTGATTTATACATCCAATTTACTTCTGCAGAAAAATCTAATTTTGCTTCACAAAGGCTGAAAAATGCAAAACATTAAACAAAAATTAAAAATCAAAAAGTCTAAAAAACTGTGTGTTGGGCTAACTGTTTATGAACGCCAAGTCTTAGTTGATTCCTCCAATGTATCCTTGACAGCTAGTCCTCCATAAGACTGTACTGCAACACCTAAGAACTCGTACAATGTTCATACATAATATTTTCTTCAGGACCATCGCAGTCCACATGACACAGAAACTTCCGGTAGGTGTGCGGATCTGCTGCAATTATAGCAAATTGAGCTTTGACTTCTGTTCATGGACAGCTGAAATGATAAGTGGAAATGTTCTTCAGATACTTAAAAGTTTTGCAACCACTTTTCTCCATCACTGTTGTTTGTGGCTGATGTCAAGAAGTCCAGGAATAAGGGAGGATATTTTTGAAGATGGCGTCATTCAGATTGCTAGTCTAACATTAGGTATTTAACAAAAATGCCCATGAAGCCATGGCGTTTTTATTTTTCTGCTGAAGTAAATCTGTGTTATAGAGACAATAAGACCTAGAAGAAAGGAAATACATCTTAATACGAGGAGAAACCACTCTCACTTTGTATAATGTGTTACTCAGTCGTCATCCAAACTTAACTACACTATTCAGAATTCAATCGTAAAACAATTGGCCATCTTAAAAAGGGCCTATCATGTATGGTTGGGATCAGTGACCTTACAGTTGACCAGGAACATGTAAATACAGAGACAGGAGACTTGGAGAGCACAGAATACAGGACTTAGAAGAATGGCAGGAGGACAGTTCAGCACTGGGGTACTGGTCTTAAAGTCAAGCAGGACACAAAATGCTAGTAAGAAACACTTGTAGCACTGGGGATCAGGGCTCACAGGGAATGCAGGCACACAGGATACAGCTGATATATCAAGGATTCTAAGACCGGAAGGGTATACCCAACAGTATCATCTGGGGAGAACACAGCATGTCCGCACATGCAACAAGGGCGAGGGCCCTTGTAAGGGCCGAGGCGCAGAGTCTAAGGAACTGCCTTGTCTTCTCCAGAGCTCTTGAAGGTAGAGATGGGTTTGCTGCAGACAGTCCCCAGGTTGCGGTCCTCGTACTCACCCAGGCAGGAAGCTACTGGGAATTACTAACTGATAAATACGAACCCCTTGCAGTGATGAGGCACAGGGATCACTGGACAGTAGGGAGCTCAGTTCAAGCTGACATGCATAGAAACACACAGACACTGGGAACTGAAAACTAGGAGTAGGTAGTAAAGCAAGCAAACAAACAGGGGTCTCTAAGAGCAGATAGAGATGTACGGTGACACCAAACAGGAAACAGGATTGAAACACATTCGGAAACACAGAGACAATCTGCTAGGACCTTTAAGGTGTAAAGCCTGAGGCAATGAGCCACATTAGAATGAGAAGAGATGGCCTGGCTGGGTTCATTAAATCATCAGCAGGAGGTTAAGCAGCCTTAAACACAAGTCTTGTAGGACAATAGGCAACACAGCAGAACCTTATAAGTTAAAGTCATGGAACTACATGTACCAGCATACCCCTGCTGCTCTTCGGAAATAGAGGAGACAGATCTGAAGAAAAGCTGAAGACCCCGACATAGATTTAATTTAAAATCTTGACAATATCTAACTGAGCTTAACAATCAATATAGTAACACTAACACACATTCATTATATTTCTTAGGATATTATAGGTGTTAAAATAGAGAAACAATTATTCAACTCAATAGTCAAACTTTCACAATAATATAAAAACTTTAGAAGATAGAAAATGCCAGTTCTATTGTCACTGGTAATAGGGGATTTCTGGCTTTGTCTGGTTCGTTTGGGGACCGCTCTTAGATTGTTGAACTCGTTAATACCAGAGCCCATACATGTTAGATCAGAACACGCAACAAAGAAGATCTAACACCCAATAAATAGGCAACTAGGAACTTCCAAAGAAGGTACAAACTTAACCAACTACACCGATATCAGCTAATGGGGGGTGAAAACATTTAAGTATTTACAAAAGAAAACAGACTAATAAAACAAGGAAGAAAACTATTTGGAACAATGCTTCCATTGGTTGATTTTTTTATGAAGTCTGTGATCTTCCGTTCTGAAAGCCTGAAAGAAGTCCAACCAAGGCATTGATCTAATCTGAGGAATAATCAATTACATTTAGTAACAAACATGACTCTTTCCTCCTAATAAACCAATGGTTTAAAGATCTAACAACAAAAACACACAGTACATACTTTTAAAATTTTCTCTTAGTTGTTCTAACAGTGCACTTTTCTAATACCAAAAATTATTGACGTCAAATTAATTATTACCACGTGGATTTTGTTTATGGTATACCATTAAGAAAAAAATTATTATTATACACCATGGTTAAAAATGAGAGCAGCTCAATGTAAACCTTTTAGTAAGCTACCATTTGTGTGCAGGAGTTATACTTCACCATACTGAACACATTGGAAACTTCCAAAACTGTATCTTCTAAAAAAACAAACAAACACAAGATAGTGAATACACATAACAATTCACTATTAACATCTGATTTCCTTTTAGAGTTCACTTGGCTCAGTAAATTTGCATGACCATACAGCTGTTCTCATTCACAAACCATGCAATTAACATGTGTTAAAGAAAAAGGGGGGGGGGGGGGGTCAGCACTCTGTGGGCTGTCAGCACCTTAAACATATGAGACAGCACTCCTGATTTTTAAAACTTTAAATAAGATCAGTGAAAATGCTTTTTACATGTCACTAATTCTTTTAACATTCCCTTTTTATCAATTTTTAATAACAGCAATGGGTGTGGCTTAAATGTCCAAACCAATAGTTACCCCAGCAAGCTTTTCACAATTTTCAACTTACAATTTTCTTAGATTAATTTTTTTTAGAATGAGCAGTATATTTTACACGTTTTTTTTTTTCCTACATTGAATTTATCACATTCCTAAATTGTAAAGTGCAAAACTTCTGCATATTACACTTATACGATTTTAAGTGATTAGGTACCCCCAATCATGTCTCAATTTGTTTAAACTTCTAAAAGTCAAAAATCAAAATTTAGTAATTTTAAGGTCAAAATGTGTTTATCTTCTAGATGTTGCCATGACCAACATGGTATTGACTCGTTACCTTTACTTGCAACAACATCACATCACCTTAAAACATAAGTAACAAACACAAAACAAATCATTATGCCACTGATATTGAATCAGTATTGTCAGATATTTTGCTGACAGGGCACTTTAGGCACATTAATACAGTCATCCCAGACAATACAACATACAATCCATGGATCTCACACATCTTAACACAACAACATACTCTCACAATTAGCTTGCTTAAATTCTAGACAAAAATATGAGCACATTTCTCTAATAAGGCTGCATTCTCTCTCTTTTTTTTTTTTTTTTTCTGGACTGTACCTCAAATCTATATATAGATCTCATTATTTCCCCTTTTTTTTTTTTTTTTTTTTTAATCTGGTGTTCATACTTACAGTAGGCTTTAACCCATGCCTCTAGTTAGGTCATTGTAAGTAGGCAGGGTGGTAGTATAAACTATCATGTGCTTACAGTTATTTGGCAATATTACCAGGTTCATGTTCTTATATAGGACTATAAGTCTCTTTTATTTCCTTTTTCAACAATTTTGTTCACTCACATTTGTTCAATTGTCTTATCTTTGAAAGTATCTGGGTAGTACTTTTTTTTTTTTTTTTTTTACACATTCTTTCAAGAGTTTAAGGTGAAAATTTCCCTTCTAGGGGTACTAAACCCCTGTGTGCCTTGGTTCCATTCCTTGAGGGATTCAGCCACTCCTGTTCCAAAGTTATATATCATGTACTTTGGCAATCCAGGAGGAGCTCCCAGTGGTATCACACAGATACCCATTTGGGGTGTACACGGTGGTACAATTCCCCATCTCACACGGTGGTGAGACTTCCTCAAGAATTAATCTATTACTAAGCCCCCACAATCAAATGCAAGATACGAATATACCTAGATAATGTCAGAATTCATCTATTACTAGGCCCCCACGATCATATGCAAAGA